CTCTGCTATATCATATTCTTTGGTGGGAGTGCCGATGAAGCAAACGTATGTTTTGCTATAGCAATCGACAGCTTACATTCAGGACATGCAAGTTGTTGACAGCTGTCTATAGAACTCCGTATCGGCCGGGATCACAGTTATTATGCACACCAAACCGCGTTTTCAGATATTCAAAGTGTTACTTGTCATTTTAATAAGTTGTAACTCTGTGCTAAGGATGGTGCATTTCACTGAAGATGCCTACTTTGATGCCAATAAAATATCTGTCAATGTACCAAGTAAAAGATCCGATGATGGAAATAATAATAAATACTATGGCAGAGGGCACAGGACTAGATACGTTTCACAAGGTCTCCCTGTTTTTTCCGCAAATTTGAAGAAATGAGGTCAAAACAACACTATGCAGCTAAGGGATACTGAGACCAAACAAAAGGCCACATAATCCTGGTCTTCATATCTACAAACTAGTACTGTAAATCAAGATTCGAATAGCTCGTACAAAATATGGTGGTTTCTAATTTTCCGATGAGTATGCCTCCAGATTATCAGTGATTCTCGAATATCAAAATGGTCATTCTGGGTGACCTAAGATGAGCTAGAGTGAGAAAGTGAAGTTTTTCCCACAATACTCGCGCTACCATCGAATTTTACATGACCTTGCCTCCCAAAAGGTTTATTCTCAATACAGGAAATGCAGTTTCAATCTCGCCTGGGTTTCATCATCACATCCTAGAAGGGATTCGAAACCCGGTCGCAATCATCTTGTCACACAATCACATGTGGGTGCCCTTGGGTTATATTGTAGCTTATCATGTCCAAGATCAGCCCAAATCTCACACTTAATGCTTGGATCATCGATAAGGCGATTAAAATCCATTAAATGGTCTTCTAGATATAGGACACTTAATTTTCCATTCTATCAGACAACATTACTGGTATTCGCAATTAGTAACTTTTCGTGACTATCAGTAGAACTAAAATAAGAAGTGAAGTCCCCCGACAATCCACTCTGGGTGAAAATAGTTTTGGAAATTGTATGGCATCATGAGGCCTACTCATCCCATTGTGCGGAAATTTTCTATCAGTTCTTCATAACCTTAAGCGACCTCGGATGACTAAAATTGTCTATTCAACATTTATCGATAGTCTGGTAAGCATACTCATTGTGAACGCAAAGAGTAATGGAATACACAAATTGGATCCAGAGCTCAGGGAGCACAGAGCACGCGGTGTAAAGTGTACATGAAATAGGGGAATCGGGGCAATAAAGTAAAAACGAACTGCTTAGTGAGTTGGTATGTCTGTGTTTTCGCAACTACACCAGGATGACATTTAATTTGTTATACCTCCCCAGTTCTGCTTCCTAAGCCAGTTTCCAGCATCGGACCGTCGGCTTTGAATGCTACTAAAAATTACCAAGACTGCTCTAGCAGATCATGCAGGACTGGGTATGTTGAACATGTTCTACCCGTCACCCAGAACAACTTTCGAAAATGGGGTCTTAACAACCCGATAGAGCTAAAGGAGGCTGTGATCAAAGCAAATGCCGCACCATCTTCAACTCTAAGGCCTATTAATGCTAAACTGTTAGACCTAAGGCTAGAGCGCCACCAGTAAAAGGGAGGCGATTTAATTAATATATTCTTAAGTGAAGGTGTGAATATCAAGATGGTGTGGCCTATAGTATGGTCGCGGTATCCTTTCGTTGTATGGAAGTGCAATGACCTCGTTTTCGTACATTGGTTGCATTGCCAGGTAGACCTAGAGGACATAACTTGTCCGGAGTCCATAGTCTCCAAGATAATTTTCAGCGTCGGAACATGGACTTGGTATATTCCAAGTGAGCCTTGCCATTCCTAGCACCAAGCTACAAATCGTCAGAGTCAAGGGACTCGAAACCTGGCGGCATGGTAACCACTACTCTACACTGCCAGGAGTTCCCTTGGGGTGTGGTGGCCATCAAAACGTGATGGCCAAGAGCAGATGCTACTTTTCTGTCCTAATTTCTTTGAGGCATCACTGCTGTTTTTGTAAAGATGCCAACACATGAAGACTCGTAAACACATAGACAGACACATTCACATGCTTAGAGGTTGACATATAATTTGAACCCCACAACTCCCTTTATACTTCGTCAAGTAGCTTAGATATAGGGTCCATATGCAGCATTTCTGGATAAGCCGGTCAGTTTTCTTGACTCGTTAGCTTTAATATGGCGCAAGAATTATACCCTGCTGTTAGGATGTCCATCATATGACTAACGAAATCTTAGCATTTTTTCACCATAATCGAAGGAGATTACCTCGGAAACAGTGTCAACAAAAATGTTTCTGTAAAGCTAGTCAACAACTAGTCAAGAGGAATCCGCCATCGTTTTCTAATGGAACCGAAGTGCGATTCTCTTCACTGAACACTTTAAATTGATAGTGAAGTAAACTTAACAAAGAAAACAGAGACTAGGCAAACCAACGCAACCTGATAAGCAGCCTGGAGCTGGAGATTCCGGTGCAGAGCGCAGCCATGAATTGGCTGTATCAAGTCTGGCGATGCTGATGGCGGAGAGGTGCACTTAAAGTCCGCCGTCTGGCAGGCTGGAGCCAGCAATACAGTGCCCTTCGGTTGGCATGTCAACTGATGGTGACTATGATTGTGCTGCTGAACTGCCTCGAGGCCAGCCATTGCGTACAGTGCCACTGAAGGCTTAATGGTGGCCGGATGAAGGTTTTGCGTGAGCCCGGGCACTCTAGTCGTTTGTAGGCTCATCTGCATGGAGAGGCTGATGCTGACTTCAGCGGAGACGAGCGCCTCTGATGTGGGGCTTCCTGTGGCTGGTTGTGTACCAGGAGTTACTTGGGTGTAGACATCTTCTCCTCCTACACATCCAATGACATCCTCGTGACTTCGATTGCAGGCTAGCTCGGTCGGAACGAGGTGAAGATGAGCAGTCGCCGAGGGATACAAGGAATGGTCAAGACAGAAGCAGCCTTGCTCGGACACGAAGCCTCCGGAGAGATTGTTGAGACTGGGCTTTCCTATTTCGCTCACTAGGCCTTGACATGAGTCCATACTTGTATTGAGATAGCTGAATTCACCTTTCTCCGACCCAGAGCAGCAATTATCTCCTTCGTCTTTCGTCTCGTCCTTCCTTTCATTCATTTCATTCCACTCATCATTTTCCTCCTCTTCATTGGCATTCTTCTCGGTTCCCCTTTCGTCTCCTTCACCTAATCTGCGAACATCTTTCTCCTCCTCCTCCTCCTCATCATCATCATCATCATCGTCATCTTCTCCTTCATAGTCATCTTCATCATACTCTTCATTATTCTCACCTATCTGTCCCGACTCCTTCCGCCATTCCGATGTCCCCCTCATTGTCATATCTCCGACGAGCCGATCGGTGCTGATCGTACCAAATGAGGCTGGAGGCCGACACTTAAGTCCAGTTGCCAGAGCTGGACACAATTCTACCGCGTTCACTGGCTCAACTTGCACCGATGCTGTCCCAATTTGGCCAGCAGCCTCGTTGGTGTGAGCCAGAACAGGGTGAATGAGGGAGGGCGAAAATTCACACTGGAGCATCACATGTGGGTTCGAAGAGGCTGTCGGAGGGGGGGCAGCAAGTGAAGAATAAGAGGGAGAGGGGGAGGTGGTTGCAGAGGAGGAAGAGGGGAGTAGATCCACACATGTGGTTGCTGGAGCTGGTAGAAGGACGCCAGTACTGAACCCTGACAGTTCAGAATGAGAAGCAATCTTGGAACCATCGTATAAGCCGAGTATGGCACCCGCCCGGTCGGTGGTGTGATGCGTCCAACTGGGAAGTGCAGAAGCCTCCTCAGGCGGCGTGGAGGAAGAGGAGAAAGAGGGCGAGGATGAGGTGGAGGAGGAGGAGAAGGTAGAGAATGAATGAGCATGGGAGGGAGGCTGTGCAAAAGTGGAAGGGGAGGTGGACAATGTGGAGGAGTTAGGAAGTAGTGTGATGTAAGTAGAGAAAGGATCAGACGAAATGGACTCAGATGAGGAGGACACCGGTAAACTGGTTGAGTTGGCGGTGGTGGAGTAGTCAAAGGTGGTGAGGATAGAAGAACTGCCGGATGCTGCAAAATTCGGTGGCCGGATGGAGGGGAAAGACGAAAGCAGGTGGCCTCCGGTGTTTTCTAATGCTTCTAATGCAGGTGGGATTACGTTGTAGGCAACTGGGAGCAATCCCGTATCTGAGGGAGGCGCAGCACTCTTCCGGCCCAGAGAGCGAATCAGACTAGCGTTTGGCCCAGGCGTCAGGGGTAGAAGACGACTCGGTTTATGGCTACCAGGCAAGTGGTATAGATGGTGGATGATTAAAAAAGAAAACAATCATAATGCAATCAACCTTAAATGGTTTAGATATATGTGAATTGTTATGCATTCCTATGGACGTTTTTTTGTTATATTCCGATTCATCTAAATTATCCACATGAATGGACGATAAAGTTGCCCTGAAGGTGAAATTTCAGTTTACTTTAAATTGATGTCTAAAGTGCTCGGAAGATTTTTTTTACTACTGGACAGACGAAACTCCAGCATGTATTCATCGTGACATCATGAATGCGCACCGAAAACGTATGCACACAACTCAGCACCCCTAGTAGTAAGGCCAAGCTACAAATCCTTTCCATGAAACCTTTTTTAAAAACTGCAAAATTTAGTGAAATTAGGTATTAATTGGCCTCTGTTGAAGGTTACAGGAAGCACTTTGGGATGGAGATCCAAGCAGAACCACAATTCAGAGTGTGATACAATGTTGTGAACATAAACATAAGAGCCAAGACGTTATTACCTTTTTTCAGTCATAGTCCCATTTTTCGAGTAAGATTTCGGAAGGGTTGTGTTCCCATAGAGACTGAAGAATTCAGCTCGTGCTGCATCTTCTCTCAATCTTGCAATGCCTACTCCCAGATCTGGAACGATGACTAGATGCATCCGCAAACGCTCTGAAATTATCATATTCAACTTTAATCAAGCAAGTAAAATGACGCGTGATGAGTCTATGCTATGAGTGATACAAAACTATAGGGTAGGAAATAAGATTGTCCGAAGGAATTGTCGTTAAGGTTGATATATGGTGTTCATGACGTACCTACCCCTTTACCATGCCGGCTAAAAGTCTGGGAATATACCTGTTCAGCAGTCTGATGTACCGAGAAAACATGAAAA